GATACGGAGTATCATTCTTACAAGGGAGGAATGTAGTAAACCGACGTTTTTACACAAAAACGGCGTTCCAAAGGTTAGGTGGCCTGAACAACATCACGACACCAAAATAGGCCACTGAGGCTGCCGCCTCATTGGTTAATACTGATCAACTACACATCACGCCATTCCTATGACGTCAATCATCCTTTCCTAAATCCCGGGCATGTCTCATATAAATAGGGGCCCTGTTTCACAGACTTTTGAGACATAGAAGTAATTACCAGTGCTTTACAATACTTGTGTGGGTCATGGACTAGAAACAGCCGCATTGCCGTCCACATCAAGTATAATTTCAATTACAACTATTCTGTCGACAAATTTTAAATTACTAAAATTAACTATATTATTAGTTTCGTGTTAATAAACATTATATCTATAATTAACTACATTTTGTGTTAAACTATTCTTACTCTACCTTCACTTCAACCACCATCCTCCGATTCATTGCGACGACGTGTACGTGCATTCGTCGTTAAAGAAGTGTGCAGTAACCAATCAAGTGAGAGCGACGGGTTACTACACTGCTCTTCGTGGGCCATCGTGGGATTCTCAGTGGCCAGCGTAGATCGCCGTGTGGACCAGTGGACAGTTGAGAAGGACCGAGTGGCAACACTGTCGATGTTAATCAGCGGATACCGAGGAGATCGGTGATTACACTATCATTCATTATCATTGTAAAACATCATTGTTTATTATTTTGTTGATATGACATAATATATTATTTGTACTATATTATTAATTGTCCCCGTAGAGTTAGTTTTGTGGGCGCCCATTACATATGAATATAAAATATTGTAATTTTCTTATGAATAGTAAGACGGTGATTCGGGCCCGTCATTAGAGCGTATTACTTGTTGTTATTCATTGACATCTAGTTTCAAGTTAATTCCACAGTGTTCACTTCCCTCTGTGTCCTGCGTTGCGGTGCTTATTAAATAGGAGCGTGGGACAGTTAAAAGAAAACTTGCTAAAAAAAATATTAAGTGTAGTCGAGTCGGCCGGTGACCTCTGGGTCGGCAGTAAAGACTTTGTTCTACAATAAATGTGTTAAATAAAATGTAATTTATTCGATGAATCATTTTTTCAAGTACCTATCCAAAATATTACTATTTTTCAGGTTCAAATATTGTAATTCATCAACAACCAACCATAACCAAGCAAGAAATTCAAGATTTTTTTACACCAGCTGAACACATTTACGATTATAATGGTAAATATATTATTATTCATAACTTTATATATATGTTACCGTCAATGTCGTAAATTCAGGTAATGATGATATTGACTAGCCAATTATTATAATTCCTGGGTAACTTGGTCATTATCTATAATCAACATATATTTGTAACATTGACTTGATAAATCAGACGATGTTTTAATTTGATAAATTCACTAGTTATTATAACATATCCTATCGTCGTGTAGTCAATGTTATCTTTTATCGTTTTAACTTTAAAAACCCACGTTAAGATTAGGTATCTGTTTTATAACAAATAATAATAGGTATCTTTTATAGTTTTAATACTCACGGCAACTAACCTAACATAAGTATTGTTACAGTCTACGTTGTACTTTCGTATAATATAGTTGTTTACAGTTTAATATAGTTTTTCGTTTCGAAAAGTGTTGAATTGTATTATAAAAAAAATGAATTCAAATGAAATGCGTCAAAAATTTTACAACGCATTATCTGATTTATTGAAAAATAAACGCGAAGATAATAAATCATTTTTAAATAAAGAGGAATATATGTTAAGATTGCAAGAAGTTAAATTAGCTAAGGAAAAAATTGGGAAGAAAAGTGCAAAGGATTACAGATACATTCGTAAGTATGATATAATAACACTCAATGGGCAAGAACGACTTATTAAATCTATAAGTAATAATTCAGAAAATGTACACTATTATGTATCAAATGACAAATTATTTGATATTTTACACGATAGTCACATTGCAATAGGTCATGGTGGTCGGGACCGCATGGTTTATGAATTAAAGACAAAATATTGTAATATTACCAAGGAAACTATTATGATATATTTAAGTCTTTGTATGCATTGTGAAAAAAAATCATCGAATCCAAAGCGAGGCCTAGTTTCTAAACCCATACTTCATAATGCATTCAATTCACGAGCCCAAGTTGACCTTATCGATATGCAAAGTCAAAGTTATAATGAATTTAAATTTATCATGAACTATCAAGACCATTTAACAAAATTCGTTCTACTTAGACCTTTAAAATCAAAACGTGCAGAAGAAATAGCATTTAATTTGATCGATATTTATACTACATTTGGTGCACCTGCAATACTCCACTCTGACAACGGAAGAGAATTTGTAAACACTATTATAACTGAGCTTAATATGATGTGGGGTGATATTAAAATAGTTCATGGCAAACCAAGGCACAGCCAAAGCCAAGGGTCGGTAGAACAAGCGAATCGCGATGTTGAAGACATTTTGGCAACATGGATGGCTGAAAATAATTCTAGAGATTGGCCATCGGGAATAAAATTTGTTCAATTCAGAAAAAATCGCGCGTTTCATTCAGGTTTGTGAATTATATTTATTAAAAAATTTAAATTTTATGTAATTTTAATGATAATTTAAAAAGTTGAGCATGAACTAGGTATAGGTAAATAAAAAGTACATTTTTAATAAATTAACTTAACATTTTTAACTAATTAATTAATTAAATATTTTATATTATTATTATCGTTTTCACATTTTTTTAAACTTAACCACATTTATTATTTAAATAGGTATTGGCAGATCACCGTATGAGGCGATGTTTGGGTGTCCTGTAAGACTTGGTGTAGCGTCAGTTGGATTTCCACTCGATGAAACCACTAATTTAAACCAAGAAGAAGATATTGAAGAAATTGATAATGATATTAATATTAGACAAGAAGACGATATTGAAAATAATCTTGATGGAGTTGAACTAACCAACAATGAGCATTTAAGTGAGTCAATCTGTGATTCAAGTTAATTAATTATTCCAAAAAATAAATACAATGATTGATAATTTATTTTTATATTTTAGTCAATATCAGACAAGACGAAATATTGAATGAAAGAAAATTATCTGCAAAATGCTTAGAAAATCAGGCCAAAAAAATGATTAAAAAATCTAATAAAAAATTTGAAGATCTTGAAGTAGGGGTAAATGTTCGAGTTTCAATTCCCGATGTTGATCGAGCTAAAGGTTCACCACGAAATGTGTTGGCTGTCATCATTAGTATCGAAGATACCATGTATAAATTAGGTATGCAAATATTTCAAATTAAATTTAAATTTAAAATAATAAAAATATATTTTAGGAACAGAAAACGGTATTCTCAAACATTTATACACAAGAACGGAAATTTTTCCTTGCAAAGAAAAATTTATTCTTCTCGAAAACGTCTTAAAATTATCTGCCGAAAAAGAAATTACACTCCGTGAAGCGGCTGGAGTCAACAGTTTTATGGGAACTCAAGGATTTCAACGGTGCCACTGCAAAACAAAATGCAAAACAAATAAATGTACTTGTAGATCTAATAACCGGCTTTGTACATCGAAGTGCCATAACAGCTTATCATGCGAGAATAAGTGATACCCATACGTCATAATCAATAATCAACATACAAGTATTAAAATAATAATTATTATGAAAAAATTAATTTTTTTCTTTTATTTTTTTTTTCATTGTTTATTCTTAAATAGTAAATATAATATATTATATCTAAAATTATCAATGGCTACATAGTTTTAGTCAATAATGACAATGACTGGTCAATCATAGAAATTATGTATTAATATTAAATTTGTTCTATTATTGTCTATCTTAGTTAGGTATTCTCTAAAATGACTAGCCAATAATATCAATGCCTATGTAAAACAGTCACGAAGACTCCCGGGTTTGATGCCTTGCGGCTACAACCGCGGACCTCACATTAGCGCTGTGCGCTAGTCGAGAGCCGCGGAGGTTCACGGTCGGCGTACGGTGGCGTTGCCACCAACCACCGCCCGCGCGTCGTCTATGGACCACGAGCACCGTGCGCACACCCGTTCCCAACGAAGTCGGGAGAGAGTGCGCCCGTACCGTTGGCTGAGGCATGCACGTACCCTTCGCCACCCAGGTCGGGTCGCAAGCTATCCTCATTGCTTCCCGTTTTTGGTTACGGGCAACCTCCGGTGCATATAGCCCCACCGGTAGGCTGGGTGAGCGCTAAGGAGTTTCTCACTCGGCAACCTTCCCCTAGACCGAGCATTTGGTCTTTTAACCATAGGGTTAGCTCCTGCTAACAGCCACTCCGAAACCAAACCGCCGTCGACCGCGCCGCAACCGAGGCTGGGCGCGACCGCCGTGTGAGGGCACGTCGTCAATCAACTCGACGCCGCGGGGCCCCCCCACATCCCGAAGTACCATTCTCGCTCCCGTTAGGAAAGCACATCAGTGGTTGGATGTTCGGGCCGAGCTTCGTCGACCGGAGTCTCAGCTGTGGTCCTACCAAGATTAGGATCGTGTATCACGGGCTCACGGTGGGCCCTTACCAGCGGCGGTCGCCCTGGCGCGGTGGCCGCGACCCCCAAGTTCAAGGCTCGGTAGCCTTTGCCACGCCTCCCAGAGGCATCACCGAGGTGATCGACTCGCTCTTCACGAGGTCGCAGTCAAAACCTCCAACACCCTAGTCCCCGGAGGTTTCGGTGTGTCCGCGTCCCGGACGCCGGCCCCGACTGGCCATTTCCCTTTCAGTCGCCTCTTACGACAAGCAGGGAATACTGGTGCTGAATTCTGGACGGCCCCAGCAACAGGGCCGAACTCCTCGCCCCAGGCGCATGAGCACGCCCCTGGTCAGGACGCGCTCGAGCGTGCCCCGCCGCTTGTGCCGCTTACACCATGCGTGCTCATTCGGGACACCCCGAGACTATGCACTACACCGCCTGGTGTGGCTGCGTCCTGACCTCTATAGGTCCTACCTATCCGTTCTATTCTGCAGACTGTTTTTGCTAAACTTTTTGAGTGCCTTAAACGTTTTCCTGGTACTGAGGAAGGCGCCTTTTTCCGGGGGCCAGTCCACCCCTTCACTTCTCAAAGTTGTCATGAGCTCTTCGCGGAACCTTTGTGTCCTTGTACATGTCATGAGCACATGCCTTACTGTCTCTGCCCCGTTTCCACAGACACAGTTGGGATTGTTCTGGAGCTTAAAACTGTAGAGCTCGCTGCGGAAGTCTCCATGTCCGGTCAAAAACTGGGTTGTGTAGTGGTCTAACTCCAGTGGCAGTCCACACCGTGCTGCCACGTCCGGGATCATGAACTTGGTCCATTCACCCTTGTCCACGGCTTCATATCTGGCTTGCCACTCCTCTGTGAGCGTTCTGAGCCCTTGTTCATATTGTTCGTTTGTTATTTCTCCGGCTCGCATCTTGCATTTCTGCGCTACCCTCCTGACCTCGAGGTCTAGCGGGAGAACTCCTGCCACTGCCGAAAGGCAGTTGGTTGACGCGGTGTTATAACTGCTCGTTATTGCTTTGAGCGGCTCCCTTTGCATGCTACCCAGGACTTTGATTCCTTTCTTCAGGGTGCATTAACCCTCGGCCCAAATTTCAGCCGCGTACGTAATACGCGGGAGGAAGACGGCTTCGTAAATAACCTTTGCAGTCGCTCGGCCCATGCCCCAATTTGCTGACGTCATTCGTCTGAGTCTTTTGTACATGTCTTCTGACTTATTTTTAAGGGACGATACATGGTCCCAGTAGCTTTCCCTGGGATCCAAAATGACACCCAGATACTTTGCCGTCGCTTCGGCCACGATCCTTGGGTCATTTTCGCCCGATCCAAAACCGACTGTATAGCCTGGCTTCAGTCCTCCCTTTAGGCTGATTATTTGACTCTTGGCCGGTGAAAACTCCAACTCATACGCCTTTGCCCACGCTTTAAGGCTGTCAAGGTATTTTTCGATTCGGCTATGTGCTGTGTGGGGTCTCGCCGCTGCCACCGTAAGGGCAATATCATCTGCATACAGCACTATGTTGGCTGTGCCTTCCAATCGTATATTACTTATGTCTGTCATAGCAACTTTCCACAACGTTGGGCCCAGCTGAGACCCCTGCGGGCAGCCGCGCTCAATAGTTCTTGTATAACGTTTTCCCTCGATCTCGAGGCTAGCTGATCTGTTTCCCAGGTAGTTCTGGATCAGTCTAGTTGTCCTTAGTGAGGCGCCAAGTGCATCGAGTCTGGACAACAGCGGGCACCAGCCGACGTTGTCGAAGGCCCCGGTGATGTCCAGAAACACCCCGAACACATGCCTGCCGTTACTGCCTTTAACCCAGTCGTATAAGGACTTTATGGCCGTGATGGTCGACCTACCGGGCACGAATCCATGTTGCTGGTTATAACTGTTTAGGTCCGTTTCATTTTCGAGATCTTGGATGATTAACGTCTCGAGCGCTTTCGCCATTGAAGGCAGCAGGCTGATTGGTCTATATGATTTTGGATTAGTGGTATCCTTTTTTCCCTGCTTTTTTAGTACAACTAATTTGGCGCACTTCCAACTCTGAGGGAAGGTGGCCTCTATGATGCATGACCTGAAGAGGTGTACTATCTCATCACCTAAGACTGGCCATGTTTTTCTCAGCATCCCGGCCGTGACGCCGTCGGCTCCGGGTGCCTTTCTAGGACTCATCCGCCATATCGCCGCCCTGACTCTTTCGGCGTTTATCTCGCCATCGTATGACTCTAGGGGCCCGCTCTTTGTGAGGTCTCTTTTATGCCTCTCTCTTGGGAAGAAAGACCCTAAGAGCACCTCCGCTGTCTCGTCGATCGTTTCCGTCATCGCTCCATCTGGGCGAACCATGGTGGAGGGGATCTTTTTTGACCTAGAGCCGTTTTTGGCCCAGCTGAATGCTTTTCCCCACGTATTGGCGTTGATGTCGCCAGCAAAACAACGCCACGCTTCAAGTTTGGCCGTTCTTATTTGGCCGACGTATGCATTTCGAGCCAGATTATATGTTGGTCTATTAGTTCTGTGGAGGCCAAGTCTCCTCATACGGTCTAGTGCCTTTTTGGCAGTGGTGAGGTCGGCTGTCCACCAAGGCTGTTTACCCGCCCTCCTGCCTGCTACACTCACTCTTGGCATGGAGTCCGTGACAGCACTTTGTATCACGTTGACTATCGTCCGTGCGTGCGAGTGTATGTTGGACCTGTCAATTTCGGCCCTTTGGTCACATAGGCATGTGACGAACTTGGCCCAGTCTGCTCGTTTGGTGTTGTACCTGTGCGCTACTTCCCTTGGCTCTCTGTTGGCCCTGAGGTCTACGGCGAACGTCAGCACGTTGTGGTCGCTGTCGGTTACATCCTTTACCCACCAGCCCTGCACCAGGTTTGCAATTCGCGGTGTCGCGAAGGTTACGTCAATATTTGATGACCCCATACCTTCCCGTTCATACGTTCTTAGTGGGCTTTCCCGATTAACGACCGTGAGGTCGAAATCCTCAATTAATTCAACCGTTTGGCTACCACGGTCATTTGTACTGTCGCAATGCCAGAGCGGCGAGTGACCATTTACATCAACTCCAATGACTGCTCTGCTTTCCCGGTCAAGTATTGACCTCAACTTTATTATAAAGTTGTGGGTCGGCGTGTTGTATTTAAAATACGCCGACACCACTGTGATTGCATCATTACCGCTGCCTCTCGATATTTTAATTACAACAATATGTTGGCTGGACAAATCCGCTATCTCGATCACCCGCAAATTAGGGTCGAGGACCACAATGACCGCGCCCGCGTTGTCACCGGTCCCTGCCTGCCTACAATTTTCAAAGGCGTAGGCCGCGCCGTTTACCATGACTGGTTCTTGAATAAGTACAATATCGGTGGATGTGCTGTCACAGTAGTCCCTTAACTGCTGGCTCGCTATTCTTTGCCGATTGACATTATGCTGAGCGAATCTTATAGATTCGGTCATTGCGGAGATCCAAAATCTGTCCGCCTCAGCAGGCTGCGGGTAGCCTGACCTCTGGCTTTACATATACCGCTTGACGCCTTGTGCGGTCCCTTGCAGTTCACGCACTTCACCCCGTCCTCATTACAAGTCCGGGAGTCGTGGGGCCCTGCGCAGTTCCTACACGAAGGCGTCTTTTGCTCACAACGTGCCGACGTGTGCCCATACTGTTGGCAGTTATAGCACTGCGGAAGTGTGCTGTGCAGTTTGCACCTGCATCTTGTCATGCCAATATATACCAACTTATTTTCCATCTTGGCGAGAACGCTTGGGGGAACTTCCATCACCCAGTGGACCGCGTCTCCATTTCGTGGGCCAAGCTTATGGAGCGGAACTGAGTTGCCCATATCCTCAGCCGTTATCCCGAGCTCCGCGTTCTGCGCCAACAGACACTCGGTCAGCTCGTCTTTGCTTATGCCTCCGTCGACGTCATAGATTATGACACGGGGTTTCCTCGGGCCTATTTCTATAAAATTGTTCATGCTCCTAATCACCTCCAACGTATTGGCGTCATCTGGAATTATTACCAGTGATTTGCCGCTGACTATGGTTTTCGCCTTAGGGTTACTACATTTCGCCCTAACCGCCTGCCATAGCCCGGCTTTCGCACTTGCGACGGTCATATCCTGTGGAATCTCTATAAGGAAACGAGACGTTGCCTTAGTTTTCCTACTTTTGGCCATTTGTTCTTTGTTTACCGTCTTCCTGGACTTAGTTTGCGGTGCAGCTGTGAGCTTTGGTGCAGTTTCCGTCCTAGGTACCCTTTGTATGGCCTTTGCCGCCTTAGAGGCGTACGAGGGCTGCTGCGCTGTACATGGGTCTTGTGACGCTGTAGTCTTAAGCGCCTCCAGTTCAGCACTTAGGCCGCAGGTTTCGGCATTCTTAGCCTCCAGCTTACCGATAAACACTGTGAGACTCTGATTTAGGGCATCGTCTTTACCCTTCAACTCGCCAACTAGCCTGTAGTTTTCGTGTGCCAATGATTGAGTGACCGTTCTCAATCTAGCTATTTTGGTTAACATTTTTTCGGCGACCATGACGCCCAATTTTTTCTTGTCCTTTTCTTGGAGGACGGTTTGCTCCAAGAACCCGATAAGATCATTGATCTCCGACGTCTCTGACGTACGGGGCAGTTTTGCTGGGAGTCCACCCGGAGAGGTAGGACCCCGTTTCTGGCTGCCACCAGCACCCATGTCACCACTTGTGCTGTTGGAATCTGTGTTATCCAATTCGTTATCACCGCCTCCCCTAAGCCTAAGCGGGGCGAAGTAGCAATGTCTGTTATTTTTCATGTCCGTATCATTAATGTCCAAGTTTTCCGTTTCCGAGTTCGTTTGCGTATAATCCGTATAATCCAAGCTAGTGATAACGACCGGTGTGGCGAGCTTACCCACACCTGCCGGATCTGTGGTTTCCAAGGCCACTGTATCAGTACCATCATTTTTGAGTTTACGTGTTTTCATTTTTGTTAAGGTTTGGGGGGCTGCCCCAGGTAGCCCTACACCCTCTGGCCGCCGGCGGGCAAGTTCGGCGGTTGCATTTGTCCATGCCAGGGGTTAGAAGTCCGGAGTCGGCCTGCTCCGGACAGTTTGAGAGTCGCTTAGCGCCGGACGTGCGTCCGGTCGGGCGGGGTCACCACGACAAGGTGGACTCTCGTCGACCCCGGTAAAACAGTCAGTATTATCATAGACTAGTCATTTTTAACAATACCTAATGATCATCATTGGCGGTAACATATATATATATAACTTACTTAGGTAATTATAAATATATTAGGTACTTTATAAAAAATAGAACACTTCATGTACGATTATTACTTTATCGCTGAATTAAAATAAATATTACTTTATAAAAATATAAAATATAAAAATATACTAAGTTGTATAAAATCATAGAAATGTAGACAAAATCGTGATAAATCCTATAATCATCATAGTTCACCCGTTAAGATCATATGTACCTATATATATGTTAAAAATGTTCGTAAAATTGTTCAATAATTTTGATAAATACATGTAATAATATAGTATTTGAAAATATTTCCATTCGATTGTTATCATAACGCTATTAAAAACATACATAAATAATTTTAATTTATTATATATTATATTTTTAAGTATAAACAGATATTTTAATAAACATATTTGATCATTTTATACATATATAATAATACAATATGAATATCTTATTTTTCTATGAAAAACATATACACATTTATTATAATACCAATAAAAATGTAAATAGGCAGACTATTTATCTAAAGATTTTAATAAAATATTATGAACGCCAGTGTATGTACATCTTACTGTTACTATTATTTCATGCTACACAAAAGAACGTTGTGTATTATTACTATAACTATACATATATATATATATATTACATATACATGTGTGTAATACTAGAGCTTGATACCTACCTCTTTTTGTATATTTTTAAAAATCGTATTTTCTATATGATAAACACATCACTAACATTTTTTTTAAATTCTTAATTTTGCTTCAAGTACTTTTACTAAAAAAAAAAACGTTTATATATTTATAAAAACAATTTATCTTTTCTATCCCATTAAAAACTTTTTTAGATTTTCAAGCTGTAACACGCGTTTATATAATGTTTAGCAATACAATAGTAAAATTATTTTTTTTTTCAGTTCAATCTCGCAATGGTAATAAGCGTCCATATTATCATACTGAAAATTCGAACGAAGCAGCAAATGCTAAAAAGACACGCATGAGCATCGTCAAGACACGAGGATTCATTAAGACAGGCACATCGTTATCGAATAAAATCAATTGGTATTACGTGAAAAATACAGATAATTTGACCACCTACAGAACATTTTTAGAATCAATAAAAAAAGACTTAATAGAACTACTCAAATCACTATCAACAAAACAACCAATTAAATATAATCTTAAATTAGAAGCAACATATGAACGCCCGAACGTGGAAAATTTAGCAGAGAATAGAGCATTTAAGACCTCAGCTAAGGAATTGTTTATAGATACAGATATCGAAGCAAAAATTAATCAAGATTTTGCAAATCTTTTGTTAGAAGAAGAAATTTATACTTCTAAAGGAAGTGGTTTTACGTTACAATCAATAGATGGTTTACTGTAAGGAGTATATAATTATACGCCTATGTGTGGTTCGTCTTATATTACACTTCCAGAGGACATTAAAAATAAAAAAGCAAATATCAATCCCCAAAACTCGGACCAACAGTGCTTCAAGTGGGCAATCCTAGCAAGACACGTTTCGGGCAATGCCAAAAATCAAGTGGCTGAAAATTATACATCGCTCGAGGACAATTATAATTTTTCTGGTTTAACATTCCCAACACCTGTGAGGGAAATAAAAACATTTGAAAAAAATAATCCGAAAATATCAGTCAACGTTTATGGATTAAAAAAAGAAAAGAATAAGAAACATATTGTTTATCCACTTAAGGTTGTGGATGAAGAAAAAAATATCATTCTGATCTCTTACTAATTACTGATGGTAATAAAAGCCACTACACCTACATTTCTAACCTTTCGAGACTTGTGAGATCACAAAAAACATCACACACCGAAAATGTTGTATTTTGCAAACGATGTTTTACCAGTTTTGACAATATACATACAAAATATAAGTTAAAAGGTCAGGCGGGGCTTGAACAACATAAGTTGATATGTGGAGCACATAAGCCAATTCTACCTAAGATGCCTGAGCCCGGTACATTATTGCAGTTCGATGGGTGGAGTAACGCTCAAAGACATCCATTCGCTATATATGCCGATTTCGAGGCACTCCTTGTTAAATGTGACGAAATAAAAGGCAAGAAAACAGCAGCTTTTCCAAAGCACGAGCCAATGAGCTATGGAGTTTTTGTAAAGGCTTCAGAAAGCGTCCCCGTTGATTTGCTTGAGAAATATGAGATACCAACATCAACTATTATTCATCGCGGAAGCGAGTCACACCAGGATGTAGCCAAACGTTTCGTTAATGAAGTGACAGAGATCGCGAGAAGAGTTCAAGATTTACTTAAAACAAATAAACCCATCATAATGACAGAAGAAGAGCAAATAGCACATGTATCGAAAAGTACATGCAATCTATGTGAATGTAATTTTTCTAACAAAAACCAAAAGGTGGCAGATCACTGCCATCTATCAGGAAAATTATTCAAACTTTATGTAATACTTGCAACTTGAAACTCCAAAAACCTAACTTTGTACCGTGCTTTTTACACAATATGTCTAATTACGATGCACATTTTATCGTGACCGAACTCGGAAATGACACTAAATCAATCTCAGTGATTCCGAACAGCGAAGAAAAATACATTTCATTTTCAAAACACGTTACCAACAACTTTTCAATTCGATTCATAGACTCTAGTCGATTCATGGCATCAAAGTTATCAACACTCGCAGAAAATTTATTAACACCAGGGTTCGAGAAGTTTAAAGAAACCTCAAAAGCATTCATACCCAGAGATATGAATCTCGTCACACGTAAGGGTGTATACCCTTACGAATTTACCGATAGTTGGAAAAAGTTAGAAGAAACAATTTTTCCTCGAAAAGAAGATTTTTACAGTTCACTGCACGAATCACATATAGACGATGAGGAATACGAACACGCAGTCATAGTATGGAACCATTTCAAATGCAAAACCCTAGGAGAATATAGTGATTTATATCTAAAAATTGATGTGCTGCTGTTGGCTGACGTGTTCGAAAATTTCAGAGACATGTGCATTTCTACGTACAATTTAGACCCTGTTTATTACTTTACAGCTCCAGGTTTTAGTTTTGACTGTATGTTGAAAATTCAATCCACGGTGGCCTCACACAAGCAAGTATGAGGTACGCCAAAGCTAATAATGAAAAAATCCAAGATTTTGACCCAACAAAATCCAAGTCATGGATAGTTTACCAAGATTGTAACAATTTGTACGGATAGGCAATGTCACAGCACATGCCATACGGTGACTTTAAATGGGTGGAGCCTAAGTTAGACAGATTAGATGCTTTGACGCCGACGTCAGATATAGGCAGAGTGTATGAGGTAGACATATCATACCCTAATGAACTGCATGACTTACATAACGATCTTCCATTTTTACCTGAGAAAAAAATTCCTCCTGATTCAAAAGTGAAAAAACTTATGGCGACACTTCATTCAAAAAAAAATTACGTAATCCATTATCGAAACCTACAGCAAGCCATAGCAAATGGATTAATTGTAGAAAAAGTACACAGAGTTTTAGAGTTCAAACAATCGGATTGGCTTGCAAAATACATTAAATTAAACACCGAAATGAGAAAAAACGCGAAGATTGAATTCGAAAAGGATTTCTTCAAACTCTTAAACAATGCCGTTTTTGGGAAAACCATGGAATCTTTAAGAAAACGTTTTAAGATGGAGCTAGTTTCATGTCCACAAAGATTACAAAAACTCATCAACAAGCAAACATTTAAACATTGTACGACATACAGTGAAAATCTTGCTGTCTCATTGGAAAACAAAATTATCATGTTTAACAAGCCAATATATATAGGTAACAATTTTACTTGCATAAAAAAATAAAAATTTCATATTTTAATACCTATTTATCATTTTTATTTATTTTTTTTTTAGGTTTCGCAGTATTGGACATCAGTAAAACCATGATGTACGATTACCATTTCAATGTAATGAAGGCGCATTATGGTAATAAAATCAACATCATGTATACAGATACAGGTAAATAATTATTATTCAATTTTTCTATTACAAACATTATATTTATTTTTTTTTTTTTCTAGATTCACTGATATATCATATTAAGACTGACGATTTTTACAAAGATTTGAAGTGCAATTCAAACTTACTTGGCCGGATGGATACTTCAGATTTAAATAGTTCATATATGAATAAATGCATAATATAGATACATAAAATATGATTTTTATTTGAAAATCTGCTGATTTTAATATTAATTTGAAGTTTGTAAATATTTTCATTGCAAATATGATATTATTATACAAATATGCGTACTTATCAATTATTTAGAGTAAAATTGAATACAAAAAAAAAGCAATATTTATATCAGCGTTGTAGACTGTTAAAATTATACATTTTCGTGATATCTTTATTATTTACGTATCGTCTTATTGAGATAGTTTTATCAATATATATATTATATAGTGTCTATATGTTTTGGAGTATAAAATATGTTTATATTTACGATCAGTATGTTGATATTTACAACGAATATAGAAATATAATAGTATGAATATATATTATTATACCTATATAAAATCAAACTATGACTAATTATTTAATATCTGCTATACAATATGGCAAGATATATCCTAACTTGTGATGGTAATATACATGCGTTTTACATTATTTATAAAGTAAATAGAATAATGTATAAAATATTTATGCATCTAGTCGAAAAACTTCAAAATAAAGTCCTAGTATTTTG